TAAAGCGATATCGTTATGATCTCTTTCAGCTTGGATGTTGCAGGCGCAATCTTCTAGTGTGTCGCGTGCTGCATCGCTTCGTCTGGTGCCTGGAAAGCTTGTCGCCGCGCTGCAGGAATCTGGCTCCGATCGTCGTGTTTAGTCCTTCGCCCCTGAGCATCATGGGACGTCGCGGAAACGCGAAGGGCGGAAGCAAAGGGGCCGGCAAGGCTGGCGAGCAACCCAAAGAGTCGCAGTACGTGAAGCGCGTGGACTTGTACAAGTTCCTGGGCAAGTGGATGTTGCGTTCCTATCCGGACGAAAGGGGAAGACCTCTCATGTTGGGCGCGAAAAAGTCTACTGCAGAAGCGGCCCTGGAACCCGAGGCCCTGAGGGCCATTCTGGATGCCGACTGCTGCGAGCTACTCCGACGCCCCACAATGGGGCTCAACCTCGCGGCCGCTTCCATCGACTGTGCGGCTTTGCTCGGGCCGGTGCTGCAGGACAAGATGGAGAGTCTGTTGCCGAAGCTGACCTCGGAGAACTTCCTGGACAAGGTACACTTCCTCAACCTGGCCCGCAACGTGGAGCGCAATCCAGAAGAAGCTCCGGAACATTGCAAGAGTCTGCTGAAGAAGATCAAGCACTTGGTAAGGGATCACGGAGCAGATCTGGCAGCGGCGGCCGAAGCAGCGGCTGGAGTCTTCCTGGGGCTCGTCAGCATCATGGAGGTGGCGGCCGTGTCCAAGGATCTGCGCGCGTGGGCCAAGGGCGTGCCAGAGCGCAGGAAGCAGAGCAAGCACCTGCAAGCTTGGCTCCAGGACCCCGACGACGAGGACAAATTCTTGGCAGCCGTCGCAAAGGCCGTGAAGGAAGACAACAAGAACACCATGCGGGCTCGGCGCTTCGGCGATTTCGAGTTGCAGGCAGAAGACACGTCGTCCTCCGTCGCGTTGCTCAGCAGTCAAGATGACAGCCCCTCGTCGTCGGTGCTTCGCGCCAGCAAGAAGAAGCGCGGCAAAGGCATGAAGCCGAAGAAGGCAAAGA